TGTACCGCATGTCTTTGGGCTGTGGGGGAAACCAGAGCACATGGAGGAACCCCACACCAACACAGGGAGAACATGCAAACTCCACACAGAAACAACAACTGACCCAGCTGAGACTCCAACCAGCGACCTGAGTGCTGTGAGGCCACCGTGCCGCCCCATTTCAGTCAATAATAATGTAAATTCTCTCAAATGTAGAAAACATAGAGCATGACCCACACACTAACATGCTGGGATGTCGTAAACTAATGTTGAGTCAAATATGGACAAAGTCAACCCCTGGGTTGTTTTTTAATTGAAATGTAAATGACACTTCATCCTGACGGTTGGGTTCTTTGAGTGTACACCCTCACACTGAAAACCATGAAGTTCAACAGGGTGTACAAACTTTTTCACACGCCTCTAAGTCAAGTCCAGAAGAGTTTCAGTCAATAATACAATATCTCTCTACAGCTGTGTTTCTCAACCATGCTCCTGGAGGAGCACCAGCTCTGCACATTCTCCATGTCTCCTTAATCAAACTGATTCAGACTGAAAGAATGGCAGCAACAGACAGAGGAGACATCCGAAACATGCAGTGCTGGTGCTCCTGCAGGAACGTGGTTGAGAAACACAGCACCCGTACAGCGCAGATCTCCTACCTTCCAGACAGCAGGTCCTCCACAGGCCGGAGTGGGTCATGACCTCCTCGTTCTTCTTGCTGGTCTCGTTCTCGTTGGTGCTCTTGATCTTGCAGACGCCGCGCGAGTACAGCCAGTAGTCGGTGCCCACCGCGATGGTCATCAGGCTGAAGGCTGCGAAGGCGCCCACGGTGGTCAGGAGCATCTGCACCCCGCGCTCAAACACCCCCATACTGCCGCATTCCACCAGAGGGGAGCCCCCTTTCCGCTTGATGTACAGGAAATAAATATTTGACAACTCAAGGGGACACGACGATGAGAAGAATCCAACAGGAGGAAGACGAGCGTGCAGGGAACTCCAGCCTGCACTACATACTAACTAGTGCACTAGTCTGAGCTCGAGTGAGCCTCCACACGCACAATTGGAGCATTCTGGCATCACATAAGCTCATCTTCAGTCTCCAGTGTCCAGTGTGGCCTGTGCCGAGGATCCTCCATCCACACATCCATGAACACAACAGGGGAGAGTCAGATCAACAAAACTAAAGTGATGAAAGCGAACACTCTGTGCTCAAAGTCATTGTTTCACACACACACACACACACTCACACACACACTCTCAGAGAGAGACACACACGGAGGCGTCGGTGAGATCAATCCATCCTGACGGTGATCAGAGATTGAAAACAACAACAATAATAATAATAAACAGAAATAAACGAGTCGCTCTCTTCTTCCTAATATTCTGCTTGGCCGTTTCCATAGGGGGTCTCTGCGCCGTCGAGTGTGTGCTGAGGAAGCGCGCGGCCGAGCATCATCATCCGGTCTCCGCCGCTCCACCGCAGCCCTGCTGTTCTCCGCTCCGCCGATCCGCTCACATCTCTCCCGGTGCCCGATCCGCAGCCCGCCGGCGCCATCCACCGCGGAAAAACACGAGCACGAGCGACGGCGGAGGATCAGGAAGAAGAGCCCGAGCGAGCACGCGCGGACGGACACTGGAGAACATCTGATATTCCCGGCTTCCAGCGCACGGAGGATCTCCGATGTGTGTGTGCAGTGTGTGTGTGTGTGTGTGTGTGTCTGTCTGTCTGTCGGTGCAGCCGCTTGTTGCTTGCGCGAGAAACACTCTTAAACACTCCAATCCAGCACACGACACGCTAAACACTGATTTCGTGTGTGTGTGCGCATGACATCAACATCTGGATCATCTCATCTGTGTGTGTGTGTGTGTGTGTGTGATGAAAACACAATGCATGATGATTCTGACTGTTTTCCTTCATCTCTCCAGTGATGGATGGATGGTGCTGAGGATGCTTCGGTTGCCATGGCGACTGCCTGACTCCCCGCTCTGCGCGCTGTGG